CCCCCAAGAAAATAAATCTTTGCTCGTACTTTGGGTGCATTTGACAACATACCTTTTTTTTTCCAACATGTGCAAGTGTGTTTTGTTTTTTGTTTGTTTTTTCTCATGCATGGGAGGGGCGTGTGTTTACGGAGGGGCGGCGGGCACACACACGTGGGTACAGGTTACTGAATGAACACAGCTCCTGACAATAACGATATGATCAGGCGGCTTCTGATGGAGCAGAGTCACCACACCACCATTGTGTATCTGTCAATCTGTGTTCCTTCTCACTGTCCTCAACAAACACTAATCAATAACTGTGGCCTACATGAGAGGCCTAATCTTCCCCCTCGTCACCCCCTTAACTCCTTATCCCCCCCTGACTCTGCATTGTCTTGCAGCAGTGCCACACTGTCTTCGCTGTCCCTAGGCATAGTATATACATCGACATATATACTTGGCCCCGTTTTTCTGGGCTTCCAGGACAGGTCAGAAGTGGGGTCAGAACTCTAGTTTGGCAAATTAAAAGCAACGCTACATGCTTCAGTGTTCATAGACAAAGTGATGTGTACTACAGAAAGGGACCATCTGCAGCAGACACACTTTTACACACTAGAGAGCCTCGCTTGGCGTCTGAGCCATCCTTAACGCACATTGGAACCAGCCCTTTGTATGTAATTCCCCGTACAGGTTATTCAGGAAGAGGCCTCTAAATCCAGTTTCAGTCCTGGTTGTGTGCTTCTGTGTGTGTGTGTGCGTGTGTGTGCGTGTGTGTGCGTGGTCCTACACATCTTCCTCCAACCGCAATTACAAGTGAAAACAAGTTCAAGTAAACCTCAGGAGCGCTTAGCTGAACAAAACGTCAAAGGGATCCTCGTCTGAAAACTTCTCTAAACATACAACCTGCACAGCAGAAAAACAGAATCCTCCCATTTCAGCTGTTCGTGTGATTTGTATTTGTTTTGTTTGGGACAAAAGAGGCGGTAATCCTGTCTCATATTTGACAAGTCTCATATTCACACACACCTGCTGGGACAAAGTAAACACGCCTTCAGAGTCAGACACCTTAATGGATGACCCTCACATTAAAACCTAAGTCAGGATAAACCCTAAAGCAGGTATGTTGACATGATATGGTAAAGAGACGTGCCCATTCCGGATATGAATGATGAGAGCAGTCACGTCACAGCTAACACGTGCACCAGTGTATACAGTGTGTACATAGGTCAAAAAACATCTGCGTGAAGGTGCATGGCACTTTCTCTCCTCCTTAATTGTAATTATTTCAAACACAATTATGAATGATTCCATGACACTGAAAGATTTACTCCACGATGCTGTGTAGCACAGGTGTCAGGTGTCTCTGATCAAAGCCAAAGATGTGACTGTGAGAAAACTATTGACAGTAATTTTTTAACTTGTTTGAAAAGTCATTGTGGAACCCCATCCCCCCCCCCCCCAAGGTACCTTACCCTATAAGCAGCTGGGGCGCCTGAAAGTCTATAAGGCCTTAATTCAGACTAATTTACTTTCCACTGACATGTACACAAGTAACTTGCTGCTGGGCGGATGCAGTTTCTTGAGTGGCGGCATGCTTGCCTTTGAAGCGTTTCCCACTCAGCATTCCTTGTGGTTGTGTAAGGCATGGCGATCCAACCACAGCTATCATTAATGAGACATTTGCATCACGGAACAAGTCTGTCGGTGCTCACATACGTTCAGGCAAGGAGCTGAAAATTGGGGATGTACTTAAAAGAGGAGAGGTATAAAAAAAAAAAAAAAAAAATGGTCAAATGTGATTTTCCAGGGTCTCTGGTGAGTGCTGTCAGTGAATGAGTGAGTGAGTAGGTGAGTGAATGGAGAGGGGATTGAGAGGACGGTGCAGTGGAGAGGGATGGCTCTCAGTGGGTCAGCCCAAAAGCCCTGACCCCAGGAGGATTTGATGCCATTTTCCCACGCAGGGAGTCGACCTGAGAAGAGCTCGTTAACAACATCTGCCCCGGTTCAGGGAGATTAACCCCCACCCCCAACCCCCGCACCTCCATACACACATACACACACACACACACACACACACACACACACACACACACACCGCTCTGCTGTCAATCTGAGTACCTCACATGAGCCCCTCTGCTCTGGACAGGCTTGCCCAAGCTGGACAGGCCACTCCGGGCCACTCAGGTCCCTCCAGGCTCAACTCAAAGGGCCTCTCTTGGAGATCCCTAGCCACAGCAAATCAATACAGCCTGACTGTGTCATCGGTGCAGTCCCTAACCGCACTCATCCATTCTTTCGTTACACTCAAACTATGTCGTGTAGGTGATGTCTGATCTGCACACCAGACGGGGGTTCCTGATTTGAGTTGGAGATTACGTGAAGAGTTGAGAGTATATTTAGAAGGTGTGTTCCTGCTGCAAGTTGCCCAGCCAGTCGAGCAGGCGAGATAGTGATGTCACCAACGTCAGTCTGTCAGCCAAATTTGTGTAATGAGTTTTCCGCTCATCACACTGACGTAGAAAGACACAGTCAAAACAGACTCCTATTGCTTTTACCACCTTGTTCACATATACTCCCACAAGACATGCAACTGGCAGGGCATGTTGTGACATAATACGAGGCGAGAGAAAAACAGGATTGACTGAAACATGGCCTGTGGCCCTGCTGCTATTAAGCTGGAGCTTTGCATGTGCTGCACACATCGATACATAGGTGCGCAAAGACACACAGTGGCAGAATCCACTGGGAATCCGCTGAATCCATGTTCTACAGGGCTATAATTAGGTTAGTTTTTGGAGAGGGGGTTAAACAAACAGGGGCTGTGAGGTCATAGGCAGATGGAAGTGGGATATGCCTGCACTTGCTGAGTGGGCACAGAGCTCCACATGACGGGAGAGAGAGGCCCTCCGGGCGCTCAGCAGGGGGAGAGCAAAGCAGGGGGGTGGGGGGGGAGGCGAGGGTGGTGGGGAGCCAAAACTCGGATGGCCTCACTGCCAGAACATTCAAACACAATCAATAGCTGTGCACGGTGTAGCCACACACCTTCCCACAAACACAGATTTTCACTCCTAAATCATCAGCAGGTATGACATTTCTGTGCCAGATTCCCAGCGACCACATAGAGAGCCGGGCTTCACTGCTCAGGAGTTGTAAGAAATATTTCACCGCACTGACATGTTCAAACTTTTGCATCGGTTGCTAAGCAGATACCTCAACATTTTTGGTTGAAAGTTAGCCCAGAACGTGGCGTATTTATCAAAGGAGCCATCCTGAGGTTGCATAATTTTTCTGAGTCTGATAAATGACTAGAAACCATCACTCTGCCCCAGCCCTCACCAAACAGCCCTGATACCGAGGAGCAGGAAGAGAAAAGCTGCTTAATTACAAAAAAATGAGTTGGAGAGTGTGATTAGGTGACGGGTGGCTGCTGGCACGCTAGAGTGACTTAAGACCCTGTCAGTGAATGCAGGGAGGTCTAGATAATCTTTCCCTCCACAAAGGTGCGTGGGGCTAATCCAGGCCGCTGTGCTGAGCTGTGGATCAAGTCCTACAGGGAGTGTGGGAAGGCCAGCAGGACCGCCACTGCTTCGGCCCTCTTGGTGGCCAGGAGCTTATTTATCCCAAGGTACACTGCAACAGCAGGCCAGTCCATTCTTCCACACACCTTTGCATTATCAGAGTCAGCAGTGAGTGTGTTGAGGCACCAGTTAAGTTTATGACTGTGATGCAATTTCAGAGTAATTTGTTGAAAAATTAAATCTACCATATAGATTTAGTTGTCTGAGTTATCACTAGAGTCTAACAGAACCAACTCGCAAAAGCAATTTCAAAATGTCCTGAATGTACATGAACACAACATGAGTTTCTCTGTGGACATCAGAAACTATATGAAAGACTACATGAGAAAAACCCCAGTTAACATGGGAAATACTGACTATTAAATTACACTATAAATTAATTTTATTCTTTAAAACCCTGTATTATATATGTTATTATATTTGCCAAACAGAAAGTCACAAATTATATTTATTTATTACTTTGGCACATCATCACTGACATACAAGATAAATTTACTAAACTTTTTAAAAGCGTTTGAGGCGTCTCGTTTTTCAATGGATACATTTAGAAATTTAATAATACACTTTTTTTAAATGGGTGAGTTTAGTCCACTTTCTAATGTGAAGTTATCTGACGCTCATCCCATTTCTCTATTTGTTTTAGGGTTGTATATATTTAGATTCTTAATTTTTACTTTTAACAATTAGAAATGATCCAAGTGAATTCTTATAATACAATATTGAAAAAGAAAAACACATTTAAACCGACTGAGGCAACAAAGCCTTTGGAGTGAAATACTCACTCTTCAAGTACATACTGAAATAAGTGAACTAGTGAAACCAAGGAAGGAAAAGTATTACAACTTGATTACGGCAAAGACAAATGCAGCTTTTCACCAACTATGTAAAAAGTAATTCAGTTAGTGAAATTAGAAACTGAGTCCATTTCAATTTTCTATAAACATAAACTACAAAACAAATAAAATTTAAAAGGCCCAAGGATTATGTCAAATTATATTCTTAAACGGATGTTTAAAAAGATACACATCAGTTTTTTGAAGTCCAGGAAAGAAAAATAATAAATCTCTCACTAGGCTGCATCTTTAAGGCTTGTAGAGGGACTGGATGATCAGATTATTCCCATGCTGCCTTCTCCATGAAGACAAAGTGAAAATATCACTCTGCCCGTGCAGTTTTAAATAAAATAGCTGTGAGCATGCATGTTAAATGTAAATTCCAGTTGTTTGGTCTTTGCAAATTTTCCACTGTGAAAATAACAGACTGCCATTAAGCGAGGTCGAAGATCTTCACACATCACCTACTAAATAATCCCTTCTCAATGGTATGTCCCCTTGGGACACAACCTGTCCTGTTCTCCAGAGATTTTAAAAACAACCAAAGTCCAAACTTCGTATTTCACACAAAAGACAGAGTCACAAATCATGTTTCGTACAAATTTATTCAGCATTTAAGAATAGAGGATGGTCTTAAAATATGTAGAAACGTCAGTTTAAATAAACGTTTTCGTTCAGGATAATGAGTAAACATGACACTGTCAAAACCATCACAGAACAGAACATCTTACAAAAACAAATTTGAACATTTTTCACGTGACAAAAACATCGGGTTCACAAGCTAAAAAGAAAGAAAAAATCTTACTATAAATAAAACTTGCGTTTGCGACCCGCACAGTCTTAACATTTCATTTAACCTAGGTCATGAGGGGGGGGGGAGAAAAAAAAGAGAGAGAGAGAGAGAGAGAGAGAGAGCGAGAGAGAGAGAGAGAGAGAGACTACAAAATTTGGACACAGTCGAGACAACTGACATTCTACAAATTAAGTGTAAACATTTATGTACCAACTTTCCATCCAGCTTTTCTGAAATACACCAGCCTCTTCACGAGGCCACATGCCTTTTCATAGAGAGAAAATATGGCATTATTTAAAATATAGAAGTCCAATTCTTCTACATATGTTGATTGCTTATACTTGTGATAAAAAGCCTCTTTGCAATGCAATTTACTCTGATGGGCTCAACGTTCACTTTCGATCCATTTAAAATTCATTTAAAATGGACAACTCAAATGATATTGAGATAAAGTTGTTTTTGAACAAAACTGTTGAACGTTGTTTCTTTAGCAACCAAAAAGTTCAAGTATCCAAAGTACTTTTTTTTATTTTTTTTTAAAGTTTTTAGTCTTTTCTTTCTGTTGCTCTCAGATGTGGGTGAGAGGTAGCGTCCCATTGACGCCAGTCCCTGCGGTCTGATAGTGCGGGTGGACGCTGTGTAACCGGCTGCTCTGCAGGGAGGAATGCTCCGCGCTGTCCCCGCCGGGAGGCAGGTACATGCTTATCATATCCCTCAGGTCCCCCAAACACGCCCGCTGAGAGTGGGACGTGATGGCCGGCGGCGGTGAGCTCGGCTCGGTCTTGCACACGGACGCCATGGAGCTCAGTCCCATGGCGTTGGTGGTCTGCTGCGTGTACGCCGGAGACATGCTGTACGTGGACGCCGCGTTCATGTAGGTCTGAGCCGAGGACATCATCGGGTACTGGAGCCCTGCCATCTCGTATCGGTGCATCTGCTGAATCTGAGGGCTGTTCATGCTGTGATGCTGAGGGTAGGCCAACTGGTCCTGCATGAGGGAGTACGCACTGTTTGTCCATCCGTTCATGTGCGCATAACCGTCCATCCGCTGCCCCACCGACACCGAGTTGTTGACGGCGTTGGCTCCTGGCGGCAACAGCCCTCCGGGCAAAGAATACTTGTCTTTCTTGAGCAAGGTCTTGGTCTTCCTGCGGGGACGGTATTTATAATCCGGATGCTCCTTCATGTGCATAGCGCGTAGACGCTTGGCCTCGTCGATGAATGGCCTCTTTTCAGCGTCGGTCAGAAGTTTCCAGTCAGCACCAAGCCGCTTGCTGATTTCAGAGTTGTGCATTTTGGGATTTTCTTGAGCCATCTTCCTCCGCTGTCCCCGGGACCAGACCATGAAGGCGTTCATCGGCCTCTTCACCCGCTCCTGGTCGCTGGCACTGTTGTTCTTTGCGCCCGGCGCCGAGCCCGAGTTGGACTGCGGGAGAGGGGTCTTGATCTCGGTTTCCATCATGTTATACATTCAGGCGGCTTTTAGTGTTCACTCACAGGCACATAAAAAAAAAAAAAAAGTTCACAGAACAGCGCCAAAAGTCAAAGAGGTAGAGGTACTGACCAGTCTCATAAGAAGATGGAAAAAATTTCTGCCCAAAGAGGCAAATGTGTCTGCAGGTGCTTCTGGTTTCTCTCCGCTCAAAGCTGCTCTGTCCCCCACGGCTCTGAAACAGAAGTCTGTAAACTTGTTCGCCAAGCTCATCTGTTAATAGGCCTAGTGGCCGGACCATGTGATGTGGATTGACAGCATGACAATGAGGAGCAGGCGACCAATCAGGGCGCAGCACCATGTAACCAACCGCAGCACACAGCGCTGTGTTTTGGTTAGAGGAGGAGGGAGAGGTAAAGTTTTAAAACAGCAGCGCAGCTCAAAATCCTGAGCGCAAAAATATTAGAGATTTACAGCCTTTATCGTCTGAGAATGGAGATGAGGAGTTCACGGAAAATGCAGCCGATTTGTTTTTGTTGTTGATTGTTTCCTGATGGCAACAAAATCATTTATTGGAAGAAATTAAATCCACAAACAGCTGCTTTTATAATCATTTTTTTTCTGAGCTGCTGAATAAAATGTAATCTCAAACATGCAAAAAAAAAAAAAGAGTTTGCATATGCTTCATATAAAGAGTCCAGGCTGTACAGTAGGTTACATGTAGCCTATATGCTGCAGGGAAACAGGTCTTCAAGGATCAGTGTTAATACATGTATTTCAGAGGCCAAAACAGAACTACAATGAGAGCAAATCCTTCAAGTCAAAAGTGGAATATTAGAATAAAATGAACCATTAGCAGAAAAAAAAATCCTCTCATCTCTACCTGCTGTCAGACAGCCGTCAGTTGCTTTTCTTTAATCACAATTTCACCAACATGATTTTGCCAACATCAAAAAGCCCTGTCTTATTTTCAGGATTTCGATGCTTCCTTCAACAGACTTTTTTTTTATGTTTAATGAGAACCTTTTTGAAACCACATGCTTGGAAGTTTTTTCTCAGGAGTTTAGCAGTTTCTTTCAGCGCTTTAAAAAAAGTCCTCAGCGTGAATTTCCTTTAAACAACTGGAAGAAAAACAACTTGTTGAGGGGCTAAAATAATTCACTTTTCTCTTTTTAAAAAAAAAAAATATTTTAAGGTAGCTATGGAGAATAATTTCACATAAGAATAAATGTTGAAATAAAACAGAATAAAGGTTAGTGGCTACACTGACATAAAAAAATCAATTGTGTGTGTGTGGTTTTTTTTTTGTTTTTTTTAAGAGAATAATTTATCAGAAACAAGTTCATTATAAAAAATGCCATATGCTTGTTTTCTGAAAAATAAGAGTGTTTAATTCCTAAATCAATGGCACGTTGATGTGGACCGTTTCTGCAGTGTTGCAAAACTTTTAATACATCAACGACCTCTTGTGGAGGGGACTGGCAGTCTCCTCAGTCTCTGGGGGAGAAGTTGAGTTTGAGACAGTGCAAACATGTTCATGCTCATCCCACGCACCCATCAGCTGCTGTTTGCTGACTTGTTTTCTCTCCGCGGTGTTAATGGTTATTAAAATGATTGCAGTGGAGTGGGTCTTCATTTGCATGTGTCTCCTTACAAACGACCTGAAGCGTCCCTCCGCCGCAGAAAGCAACTGCTCGACAGGGCAAGGCTCACACCTGCTAATGATTACGAGCAGATCGCCCATCGAAAACAGCCATTAACAGCTCGGTATTTACATGAGCTCTGCAGGGATCGTTCTGCATGTGCATGTCAGCGCGTTTCACCTCCCGGGGCTTTAAAACTTAAAAATGCAGCTTGTGCAGGCCTCCTGCATGCAGAGAATACATACGTTAGATGCAGGGTGGTGCGTTCACCTGAGGGACCAGAGCCTGCAGACTTTTTTTTATTTATCATTTATTGCTGTTTGGATTAAAAACCAGAGTGTTTGGAAAAATCAGCTGTGTATTTGGAAACACTGGATGAGACCAACACTTTATGGATTTAAAGAGCGGCTTCCAGTAAATTATCAATGAACCGATAATACCTGTCAGTCATTGTTGCTCTTCTCTCTGCAAGAATGAATGAATGTTTCCGTTTTTAAAGTAAAACTAAGAACAAAATCCAAAGCCCAGAGGAGTGTTTTAAATATGAGCATGTTGCCTTAAGGGTACAACATGTGTTTAGCAGCAATTACAGACAGATTTAGATACAATGAGAGCTGTGGCTTAGAAACAGACATAAAGAAAATAATATTTATGACTTTTAGAATGAGAGAACACACAGGGGCACGAAAAGCTTAAAGAATAAAGCATGACCTGTTATCTTAACGGGAGGCAGAGCCTACAGCCCCATCAGCCATATAGTTGTAGTAAATCAGCTGAAAAGAGAGACATCACTTCATGAATTTAATTTTCACGTTCAATGGGGCGTTACAAACAGAGCAAGAGCAATAAAACTAACGTCCAATTAGTAGCCATCTAATTCTCAGGAACCGGTTATTTGTTTATCTGGGCAGATCTCAATACTGATCCGCTTGTAATCTTCTTATGGAAATTGACCGGTAGCAGAGAGAGAGAGAGAGAGAGAGAGAGGGAGAAAGAAAGGAGGAAAAAAACCCAGCAGGAGTAGCCCGGAGTTTGGTTAATGAGGGCTTCTGTGCAGCTAATTTCCTAATTAAGGCACCGAGGACCACCAGCACAGTCCGCTCCGATTCAGACTCAACAAGCCTGACAGCCCCAAAAGGGCTCTGAGGGCGCGCGGCTGCAGGATCCCACTGTTGAATGTTGGGAAATATGTGGATGTCCTGATGGGAGGATATAACCTGTATGCAATCACATCGAGCCTGGATAATTTCATGTTTTAAAATAAGTGGATGAAATGCGCATGTGCACGTAAGGCGGGGACAGATTTTTCCTCTCAAAGTGTCGATTTCTGAGAAGCCAATTGTACATATATATATATATATAGGTATATAAACCTTTTCGTTACAATAAAGATGTATCGGATCATTAAACGCGATCGGTTTGTTTACATTTAAGTTGAACTAAAATCTGGTGCCTGGATTTGACAGAAATACAGGTTTTGGTTGAAGGATGGGTTTAATTGTGGCCTTTGGGGCCTAGAAATAATAATAAAAAATGTTGTTTATTTTTGCAGAGAGATTTAAGGGAATTAATATCTATTAACACAAAACGACATTAATCTCACCTTGTCCGCACCCTTTGATCGGCTGTCAGCAGAGCTTTATGGTCACACACTTTGAATTCACGACGGGCAACACGCGCTCAACTTTAATATAATACGACAAGACACAGACGCTGCGTGTCTGCCATTCATCTGCAAATCACTGACTGATAAGAGCTCGTCACTTATTGCTTTTTATTGCCCTTTATTTATCGTTATAGCCTGCCATGTACAAGTCTTATATTGTCCTCTCATTTTTAATAATCGCCGGAAAGGAGATAATTTTTTTTTTTTTTAAATAATCGAAAGTCTCATCTCAAAGCCACAATAAACAACATTATTTGACGTGTCCATTTTAAACCCCACGACCTCCAGAATCAATAACTTTTTTTGTTTCAGCCCAGTGACTGCGGACAAGGCCTTTGAGAAACAGTAATTAACAAAGAATGGGTTTTCAATTACAACCACAATGGAGACTGTCTCATTAAGATTTGCATGATTTTTGGACCAGGAATGCAAATGAAGATGCAATTTACGCACGGTCTGCTGTCCCTATTGTGTCGGCGTGAATGGTTGCGTCCTCCCAGTTCAACACAGGTAAAATAATATTCACGGGTCATTTAAAGGAAGAAAAGTGCCGCCATTATCACCTCTTTATTTCACGAGGCAGGGGTAGTATATCCTTCATGGTAATGTGACGTATTTGACCCATAAGAGTTATAGTTGACAAAAAAAAAAAAACTTTACAAAAATAGATTCAAATGTTTAATGTCTGTGCGTAATGCAGAGTCGTTGCTGAGGAAACATTTAGACTCTGTTGGATCTTTGTTTTTCTTTTTTTCACATTTTTTTTATTAATTCATGACAGAAAATTCTTACTGAAGCTGCTAAAACTAAATCTAAAAGTCTTCTCCTAAATGCTTCTTTTTGCCTTGGAAAATCCATACGTTAATATTATTAATTATTAATGAGCTGCAACAGGTATCATATAACCTAATTTATATTACTTAATCATAGCATCTAAGAGGCTCCACATGGCAGATCTGTTAGGAGCCTTGAAATATTATCAAATTAAAAAGACTTTCATCGTGGCATAAATAATAATATGAGAATATTTTTGCACTCTGTTGAGTTCTGTTTGGCTGGAGACTTGTCAGGAAATTACAGACTCTCTTTGAGAGGCAAATTAACAGAACTGGGAATGACCTGAAAGACCTTTAATTAAAGTAAGTTTCCTTTTCATTATGTTGAAAAAATGATTTTTTTTTTTTTTTTTTTTTTTTAAATATGTGCAAATGTAGTCCAAACAAAGGCTGGTCAAAACCTTGAAATGAATAATCAGATTGGTTGAAGTTGATATTCAGATTCTGAAGGTTTTAAGTGTGTGTTCATCGCCTCCTGACAGACAGGAGTCAGGAGAACAGAGAGAGTTAACATCTCTGCACGTGCATCAGGGCAGAGAATAAATAAGAGGCGGCGGACTGATCTTCAAGGGGAATTAGATTTTCTCAGGTTCTGATCTGTGTCATCTGGCTGTTTGTGGAGCTTTAGTCATCATGAGATAGAATGGGAGAGGATGAAGCAGGCAGATTTGCAAACTCACCACATGTTGGGACGCAACCCCCGAGGATCGTCTCCTATATGTTAGGCAGTGAAGGTTCAGTCATTACAGGTGAAGACACTCTCACTCAAACCTTCAAAAAGAACCAAAAACACACACTCAGAGGACAGATTTGTGATTTTCAGGTGAGCTTTAGTGGAGTGCTGCAACTCTGTCAGGAGGAGTCTGGGCTAATGGAGAACGCTGCATTCTCGCCTCCACTGTAGCAGAGTAATTTGTGTTTTCATTGTGGTGGCGGTGGAGTGAAGTCCACGAGTGATGTGTCTGCACTCAACAGCCACCTCGTTCAGCTCTGTGGAATTTATCCATTATTGACCTCTGCTTGTAAAACAACATGCAAAAAGCTGTTTGCCTCCCGTCGCCATCTGCGAAGAATG